TTATCTGTACTAGCAGACTCACCATGCATGACCACATGTTTAATGCCAGGCCTCCTTTTAAACTTTGCAAACCAGCCAGTGATAGCCTTGAATTCTAGATTTTCGGATGACGAACCTGGAATTTGTTTTCTTTCAATTTCTCAAAAATTTCTATAGCCTTCTCTTGAAGGATAGCCATACTAGTTACATCTCTTTTCATCTCCCGTTCATTTATCCAAACTAAAAGTAAACTCTCCATTTTTTTCATGGAGGGCACTTCTTTACTTTTCAGATGTAATTTTCTTTACTCCTTTAACGGCTTGAGTCTTCTTAATGATATCTTTCTCAGCTATAATTATGTCTATTGTAGACCTGTTCAAGCCGTACTGCCTAGCAACATCAGTCATTTTTTGTCCACTCTCTACTTTAGTTATAATCTCTTGCTTGGTTTGTATGGTGAGCACAGTTTTTGACACTCCACTCTTTTTAGGTCCCATAATATTGTCAGATTTTCAGGTTTTTTTTTTTTTTTTTTTTTTTTTTTTTTTTAATAAGGCGTTTAGAGAAGAAGCACATATGAAAATCACAAGGACAGAAACCAACTATGGTATACAATTGACAAAGTGTCATCGTACATTACCATACGTGGCGTACGGTGCTGCCTTACTGCTACATAGTATGAATGATGACATGTCAGCGCACGTGCACATACATTTTCAGGATGAATAGAGGACTGGTGTCGGGTGTTCCGAGAGGTTTTCGTTAGAATTAGTTTTTGTTCGTTGTCCGAACACAAAAATCTTTCCTGAAAGTGTTCGTTGTCTGATTTGTTCTTTAAAATCTAAAATATCTCTTCCTTTCATAATAAAAATAATTAAATAGGCAACATATATGTAACTAAAAACTAGAATTTTAATACATCATTTGAAATAGGGGTAACATTTATTTTTAAAAAAATCCATGTCATCTAACTATTATATTTGTTTTAATTAATAACACATGACATAATATTAAAATATTCTCTTATAGGGCAATTTCAACTCCAGAAAACTTTTTAAATTTTGTTGGTTTAAATGAAGAAGCAAATATTGAACAGTCATTAAATAAAAATACATATGAAGTAAGTTAAAGACATTTCTTAATTGGTATTTAAAAATATACCTAGTTTTCCTTTCCCATTTAAAATTAACATTTTCTAAAACTATCAAAAATTATTTTTAAAAAATTGTGCATATTATTTATTTTTCATATTAATAAATTGTTGTACTATGAAAAAAATGCTTTTAATTAATAAAATATTTTGGCTACATTTTATTGTTATTGTAGCTTATATGTTAATTCATCATTGAAAACTTGCATTCCAAAAACATTCCATGTGGAGTAAATACATCGCATTATTTCTTATTAGGAAAGATCTGTGGGCAAAGCATTTCTTTTGACTTGTAAATCAGTTTGTTTTTGAATAAATGTTTAGTATTTTGTTAACTAAATATTAAGTATAGAAACTGACACATTTTAAAATAAAATTTTATATATTTTTTCTAGCTAATGCTTTGTATACATGTAATTAGAGGCTGTGTGAAGAGATGCAAGTGGCCTAGTGATTCTGATGTAAGTGTACTGTTCTTGTTTGAGCTTATGATAATAGGTTTCTATATGCAATAGCAAAAAAAAAAAAAAAAAAAAAAAAAAAAAACCTGTTTTGTTAGAATGTTTTTACAATGATGTAGATTTGATTTTCTAATATAGTATTTTATCTGCTCTGGAAGGTTTCTTGATATAGTTTCTAATATAGTATTTTATCTACTCTTGAGTTTCAAGAGAGGTAACCCTGGATTCCAAAAATTTGTGGGGAGCCATTTCGACCATTTTCATCTTCATAAGACTTTAATCAATGGAAATATTAATAAAAACTCTGAAAGCGCTAATTTTTGCCATCATTTTTTGGAGTGGCAACAGTCTTGGGAGTCACTAGAGATAAAAATGCTTTACTTCGAAAAGTGTAGCCCGCTCACTTTCAGATCATAGAGTTTGTTAATAAAAAATTTGTTTTACAAAATATGAAATGAAAAAAGCATTACCAAACATTAATTATGTGATTATTATATAATGCCATATTCTAACATTGAAGAAAGCCTGCAATTGCATGTGATGTCATTGTATGTTGAATTTTTTATTAATGTCAGCATGTTAAATAAATAGCTGCTGTCAGTAACCATTTTGTTTCAGGTTATGATATTTGACACTGTAAGTTAGTGACACATTAATTATTTTATTGATATTAAGCAAAAGTTGTTATATTATTAAATTTAATCATGACATCATACGTATACATATTAACCTGATGTGTCATAAGTTTTCGTTCTGTTTTGACTACAAAAAAATTATTTACGAATTGGTTGTTGCTTGGAAAGAAAGAATGGATTTCATTCTTATTGACATGTTTTTATACATTTTCTTTTCAGATGCACATGGAACTTATGAATTTTGCTTTGGCCACAGCCCGCTCATCTGGTGGGCTTGTCTGCTAGTTTTTCTTTAATTGTAATTTTGCTATTTTTCTTATTAGCATCAACTGAAATTCAATTTTCAAATCTTATCTAGATTCAAAAGCAGATTCATTGAAAGTGCATAAAAATATGTATACTGAGATCACTCTGAAATTTTTTAGATATGAGCAGACAAAAAATAGTAGAAAAGAATTAACAGTTAGACTTGAAAATATGAACTATTTTAGCCAAGCAAATGATTTTTTATTGGGCAATTGCAAGCAGTTTAGCTTAGAATAAATTTTAGGCAGAAGGAAAAATAGAATTTGCATGAAAAAATTTTTTAAAATTTATTTATTTCCAATGGCAGATTGTAAACAAATATTGAACAGTCATTAAATAAAAATACATATGAAGTAAGTTAAAGACATTTCTTAATTGGTATTTAAAAATATACCTAGTTTTAATTTCCCATTTAAAATTAACATTTTCTAAAACAGTTACAGCAAAAAACAAGAACAAAGAATACAGCAATACAATATAAAAAATAACTGTAACAGAGTCCATTAATCTAACATATTTCTTGCTTCCCATTAACGCTTGGCAAGAAACGTCTTGTACAGAGTAGAACAGTGGAGAAGATGTGCAGCGTCCATCACCTCTCCAGAGCTGCGAAGAGTGCATATCAGAGAAGGAACAATTTTGAATCTATAAAAAAGGTATCGTAGGTAGTCATGTTTGATGGCAAGACGGAATTCAGAGACCACTCTACGCCTTGGGCCATTACACAAATTTGGGATAGTATTTTTCGAAGACTTATGAGAACACGATGATAGAGATCTTCCTGAGCACGTACTTTGAAAGATCTTTTAATAAGATCCTTAACAGTATGAACAGGCATATGACGAGAAATATTCTGCATGATTAAAGCACTCTTTTTTGCCAGGAAGTCGGCTTTTTTCGTTATCTGGAAACCCACAGTGGGCAAGAACCCACTGGAGTACTATAGTTTTTTCTGATGCCAGGGAACATTATCTAAATAATGTCCACATTATCTAAATAATGTGGACAATCCAATATATCCTGTGATATAGGATTTTTATCTGAAACGATAGCCAACAGAGCAGCTTGGGAATCATTGGAGATAACAGCTCTTGTGAATTTTTTTAAGTAGCATGGCAGCTGGGAGCAGAACTGTGTGAATCACAGCAATTTCACCATCAAATGCAGTACCTTGGCCCACAGGAATGTAGAAAGAGAAAATTTCAGAGAAAACTCTGGCACCTGAATTAGGGCCATCAGACAGGAGAGATCCAAAGCCATTCTGGTTCAGGATAAAAAATGTTTAATACTTCGAGAGCGAGGGCTCTCAAAATAGAAGGATCTGTATTACTTTTGGTTACTTTTTGACTCAAGTCAAGATTAATCCAGAAAGATTTCAGATTTATTGGATTTTGTAGTGGAACAAGTAATTCTGGTTCATTCATTAAACCAAGTGAATTTTTTACCTGAAAAACTCCCTATAGAAAGCCCATCTGAGTCTTTAGATTTCTAGTCAGATCTTGATTGACTTCATCCCAGAGTGAAAGACATTCAGGAACTCTAATGATCTTTTCCTAGAGCATTAAGACCTTCTCTTGAATTATGGTTCTTAAGTTTTTATCACCAGCTAACATAAGCATGGCATTAATGTGTCTTTTACTTCTCCAGAAACAATGCGTAAGCACGGATTTTGGATTTTTTCTAGAGTACTTTTTCCCCAGTCATAACAAGTGGTTCACAGCAGTAAGTCAGAAGGGGAAGATTAAACGAATGATAAGTGTGGAGCAGGGTTTGTCCAGTGCAAACCCACCTTGCCCCAGCAAGGCGCTTAAGGACACTGAGACGCTTCGTAGCATGGTTGGACAAATCCTCTACATGTGGCTTCTATGTTAGTTTGTGGTCAAATATCACACCCAAATATTTAAATTTTTGCACATGGGGGTTTGGGTGCTCTTATACGTCAGCTGAAAATCCAAAGATTGGTGCATAAAAGAGAAAGTCAGGCGGTAGGATTTATTTAAGTTCAACTCCGTATTATTAGTATCACACCAAACTTCCAAAGCATTCAAAGTAGCAGAGAGTTTAGTCTCTATGATTCTCACTGCACTTTCTTTTTTAGAAACCATCCAGAAAACCAAATCATCAGCTTACAAGAGGCACTTGAAACCAAAAATTTCTCCTATTTTAGAAATCAAATCATTAATATAGATGTTAAAAAGGGAGCAGCTACTAACAGCTCCCTGTGGGAGACCTGTTTTTAAAATCTCAGATTTTGATAGTGTGTTGCCGTACCTGACTCTGAAAGAGCACTGGCACAGGAAACCTCTAATCCAATTAAAAAGATTTGCTTAAATTCCTAGACCTGTCAGCTTCAGTAGAAGACACTCCCACCATACTTTGTCGTAGGCAAGACTTAATGTCAATAAAAACTGCTGTCAGGACCTCATGTTGGTTAATAGATTTGGAGCTTCTAAACCCCACCTGCTCCTCGGCAAGAAGTCCACAAGTTTCTAAGTAATAATTAAGTCTTCTCACAATTGTTTTCTCCATAGCCTTCCCTACAATACGAGTAAAAGATATTTGTCTATAGTTACGGAGACTATCACAATCATTGTCTTTCTTATGTATGGGAATAATGATAGAAGTTCACCAATTTGCTGGTACAATACCAGTGTTCCAAATTAAATTGTAAAAGATCCAAACAGTGTCAAATGCTTTAGGGCCAAGATGGGAGAGAAACTCGAAATGGGTTCCATCTCCACCAGGTGATTTACCACAAGGAAGGCTTCTTAGAGCATAGGTCAATTCGTCTCGAGTAATGGGTGCCTCAAAAACTGAATCAGTTGAAGATTCAAATTCCAACTGCAGGAGTGTAGTTTTTTGCTTAACTCCGGACAATGTATTTTTGCATAAATGTTTTTATTATTAGCTCTGTGGAAATGCTGTGCAAAAGCATTTACTACAGAAGAATCCAAAGAAAGTTGTTTGTCTTTAACTATGAAGGTTTGTGTATGTTTTTTATCATGAAGGTTTGTTTAGGTGAGCCAGCAGGATCATTCATTAGGTTGCCTACAAATTTAAATGTTCTTTTACTATCCATTTGGTAATTTATATTTCAAATAAATTCATTAAATGCGGATCGTTTACTGCTAATAAGGGCCTTCCTAAAGTATGCAGATTGTTTTCTCTAAGCCTGAACATCGCAAGGTCGGGAGGTCAACTCTGCCTTTCTTCTAAGACTGTCTCTCACCATGTTCTTGATAATTCTATAAACTTTATTAGAATTTAAAGTCAAGTCAAGTCTATCATGATTAAGGCCATGTTCCATCAAGTAAAGAGAGACCAGTTCACTTTCTTAAAATTCCAAAAGATTTTTGATTGTGAAAAGGGCTTCTGATCCACTTTGGGTATTTCAACTTCTGCAAGCACCTTTCTGTGTTGTGATCCAGGGTCCTTCAAGATGCTATGTTTTGTGAGATTGTAAAGGTCAGCAGTGACCATCAACAGATCTGGGGTTGTGCTTTTACCAGTATAATGCAGATAAATATGGAAGCTTTTTTTCATTGTATATTAGTTCAAAAGTAGCCGAGCTCAAGAAGTCCTGAACTCTGGGCATTAAAATCTCCTATAAAAATAGAATGTTTTAAATGATTAACATTGGAAAATTCAGGATGGTTACAAGGAGGGCTGTATATAGCTAGAATTTTAAAAAGAGCTCCACATTTCCAGACATCCATATGTACAACTTCACTCTTATCACCATCAACACCCATCTCTTTTATGATGCAAAAATCAGTTGTTAAATCTTTCTTGACACCAATCAGTATATCACTGGCAAATTTTCTAGATTTTGTAAGTGCATGAAGATAATATCCTTTAAAAGGATGAAATTTTCGGTTTTTGATATTCAAATTAGCCTCCATGATAGTGAAGACATCAATGTCCTTCTCACATAGGATCTGCAAAAGCTCCGCGCACTTGGCTTGGGACAGTCCGCCAGCATTCCACTGTAACACTCGAAAAGTATTAATCTGAGGAGGAGGATTGTAGATCTTTTAGTCACTATAAAGTGTTACCAGGTGCACCACGAGGAAGTAGATCTACAGCACACCTGGTGTGAGAACATTATCGTGCTATGATTTTAAAGTGGGATTAAATCAAGAAGAATGCATTCAATGTCTACAATTAGCATTTAGAAATGAAGGTTCATATCATGCTACTGGATTCAAATAGTTTGCAGAATTTCACAGGGGTTGCAACTGTCTTCAGGATAAAGAATGCACAGTAATCCTGGGTAATGTGACTGCCATCCAGAAAATGTTGATTAGTGATAATTGCTGTACCTGCCAAATAATACAGAAGGAACTTAACATTGGATCCACTGATAAACATAAAATTATTCATGAAGCATTAATTTGATATGAAAAAACTAATTTGCCATTGGGTTTGCCATAATTTCACATGTTCGCTGCCGATCACAGACTGGCACGTAGAGCCAATCACACTCTTGCGCTTGGCGTGGGGTGATGTCTCAAGTGCCAGTCAGGAGAAGCAAGCGTACTTATAAAATTCAATGCTTAAAGGCTTAGTAATCAATGTGGTACACATAATAATCTTTTATTATCTCTTTTAAATCACATTTCCTAAAATAAGTAAGTTGGCATATGGGTACAATATATTTCTATGACACAGCATTAACTATCAATATAACCTCACATCACTGGCAGCTAAAGTGTTAACTGAACATCAAAAAGAGGAGCATATCAGAATCAGTAAAGAAACCTTTAATTCTTTAAAGATGGTGGCCACCACGTTATTTCTAAAATCGTAACTGGTGATGGAAACATACATACCATCTTTTTATGTAAAAAGTGGATCTTTGGACCCCATCCCATAGTGTGAAAAGACAATGTGCCATGTAATGTATGTCATTTTCTTAAGTACTGGACTGGTCAAAGGCATCAAGCTGGAAGGATAGAAGACAGTCACAGCTAACTAGTACACCTTAAAGTTTTTTCCAGAAATTCTTCAAGAAGTGAATGTCAGAGGAGTCTTGTTCCACCATGACAATGCATCTTCTCATATAGCAAGATTGACAGTTGAGTTTCTTGAACAGAAACTCACCAAAGTGATAGAACATCCACCCTGTTCACCCTATCTAGCTATGTGGAATTTTTCAGTTTAAAAGAGAACTTACATGGACATTCTTTTCATTCTGAAGATGAGATTGATGAGGCTATCAATGCATTTTTTTGATCGATTCCAAGAAATAAATGGTTTGAGGCATAATCTTTGGAAAATTCACCTACAGAAGTGCATTGATGCTGGAGAAGACTACTTTGAGCACTCCTAAAATTTCATAAGTTAACTTTAAAAACCTATGTGTATCTCAAAAATTTCAGAGTGACTCTAGTACATATTCCCTTAAAAAAAGGGGGGGAAATCAAATATAACTAACACAATAAAGATTATTGTAGACATACAAATGAGGCTAGTTAAATTACAAAGAAAATGAAAGTGTATAAATTTGTAATATATTAACCCTGCATATGAATAAAATATATAGTAATATAAATAGTTTCTTAAATTTCTTCCAAATTTAAGAAACATTAGTTTCTTTCGTTTCTTCCATTTTAGTATAAGAAATTGTCCAGCCAATTATATGTGCTGTACAAGATGAATTGCTTACCATTTTTGCTGTATTTCAAACATGGCATCAGAATCTTTGAAAAACTTTTCAGTTTCATACTGTGCATGTCTTGTGTGAATATTGTAAATATTACAAATATCAAACACCTTGTGATATATTAGAAAAAATCTCCACATTTCAAACTTATACTCGTTGAAAGTCAACTGTATATTAATCATCCATTTTCTTCCTAAATGTTTTAGTTTAACATTTTCTTAATTTTTAGATTGCAAAGAAGGGAAATTTTGTCCATCCATTGAGTGATTCTCTTAAGAAAATATTTTATAGAAATCCTGCTGCGCAGTGTATAGTTCCTTCATTACATCAAATATTTCTATTAGTTAGGTAAATTGTAATATTGAATGCTTTTGTATTATTTTATAATTTAATTAATAGTTTTGTTGTCTCTTGCATCAAAATAAAAGTGTGGTTTTATTGTCTTCTGATTTAGAACTTTAAATGCCCTTCATGATCCAGCAATCCAGGCAAAAATTCATCCAAGTTTCTTACGTGCCTTAGACATCAGTGAAACAGATAAGTACAATATTTTAGGTATGTATATATATTAACCTTTTTTGTAGTCTGTAATTTTTATTTAATGTGTAAAATATTAAGATGCCCTAATTGAAGAAAGCTGTAATTTCTTTCCTCCGATATGCATTCTTTTTTAATTTGTTTTTCGAAAGAGATTCAGTCTCTACTATTAAATAATGAAGAATCTATATGTTTATTTGTTCCTCTTGCGAAAAAAATGCTGTTTTTCTTATATAGAATCTTTAAAATGTTGCACTATTCTATGAAAATGATTAAAATTTTTATGCTATCAAAAAATTTAATTTTTCATAGTTATGTTTAATAAAATTAAGTAACGAATTTAAAGATTTGTAATTATTTTATTTAGGGAAGGTTGTTAAAAATTATGTATTTGAATTATTGTTTAAAATATCATTGAATTATTATAAAAATTTAGTAATGAAATTAAAAAGGGTGAAATAATTTTGAAATATTAGTATAGAAAAATATATAAAATAGTGTATTGAGTATAATGTAGAAAATATTTAATATTTTGATACTTATCTATCATATTATTTATGAATATAGAAATCGAAAAATTTTAGAAAGTAATTCAAAACAAAATGTATAAAAAAGTCATTTGGAATTATGTAATTATTAATTTGTATTAATTTAATAATGTTAAAATTTCTGTATAATTTTATGCTAAATGCAGACTATATTGAGGGAGTACTGATTCAGAAACAGAGGCCTATTATTACCTCTGCACAATTGCTCCTTTCACCCCCTCATACAATATGATGCTGATGGCTCTCATTTAATGATTCAGTGTAATTTTTTTTATATATATTATAGCCCAGAAGGGCTATTAATTTAGTTTTGACATTTTGCGTTGAAAACTTTAAAAGTCTGAATCACTTTTCAAATTGTTGCCATCAAATATTATAGCCCTCTATTATATTCAAAGAAATTAAATAAGGAAGAATCTGCATAAATGTATGTATGTTTCTAACGTTGTGATAAAACAATGGTACGCAGCGGGAGAAAAAAAGGACAGTTTTATATCTCCCATTCTACTGGGCCGATTGATGAAATTCAGCTTGCGTCGTAAATGTCTCGGAAGCATGACTTAGGATATATATTAGCTTTATATATAGCATTGTTCTAACATAGGTATTTTGACACAAAATCAGACTTTTTATGAAATGACATGCCAGTTTTTTCCATATTTCGATTCTATGACTCGAATTATGCCTCAACATTAAATTTTGTAATATATGGTGCAAAATTTATGGAGAAATGTAAAAATTTATCTGAGTCCATCTTTACATCTTTGCGCCAAGAATAATTCACTTGGCGAACTTCTTAATTTATAGCAACCTATTTTCCTTTTTTTTTTTTTTTTTTTTCATTGTAGATGAGTGGGAAAGAAGTCATCATTCAATAATTTATTCATCTTTCAAATAATTTTAACAAAATGCATAAACCACATTTAGTGTTATTATTGCTTATAACAAATATGCCAAATTTTAAAATGCTCCAATATGTAAATTCACATATATCCTAGGAAATTTTGAGTAAAAAAACTAATTTTTGCAACTATTCTTAAATACATCTACTTTAAGATAATGGTAAAAAATGTATAGGTTATACTTAAACAATTTTTTCGAAAAAGTTATAAAAATTATTTAAAAATACAGATTTTAAAAATATATCATAAAAAATGGGTGAAACTGTATTTGGAATGAACATAAATTTCGAAATGTGAAAGAAAAAATCAATAAATTTAATAAAAAAAAGGAGATATTAGTAAAATATATACAAGATTCAATTAACATGGAGAAACTAAAATTTCGAGAGCTAATTTTTTAAAAACTTTTTGTGCGATGTTACAAAACTGGGCAGTTTGGCATAACTTGAGTCTTAGAATTGAAATACGGAAAAAAAAATTATATGTATATAATTATAATATTTATATTTCAGAAAAAGTCCGATTTTGTGTCAAAATATGAATATTAGAACAATATTGGATATAAATCTAATACAAATCCAAAGTCATGCTTTTGAGAATGAAAAACGTAAATTGAATTTCGTCAATCGGTCCAGTAGAACAGGAGATATTAGAACTGTTTTATTTTTAGTCCAGAGGGGCTTTATCCCTGAGGGGCTATTGTTTTTGTTTTGCAATTTTACGTCAAATCACTCTGAATGTCCATTTCACTTTTTTAACTGTTGCCACCAAATATTATTGCTCTGTATATTTGAAGAAATTAAATAATGAAGGATATGCATAAATGTATGTGTGCTTCTTGCATTGTGATAAAACAACGATACCTAGAGCCATCAAATTTTGAATGACATAATCTTCTGGAAGATAATAATATGGGCATCTGGAAGCCCAAATTTATAATTTATAATTTGTTTTATTAACAATTTCGTATTTTGTAAAACTTTAACAAATTTTTTATTAACAAACTCTAGGATTTCAAAGCAAGCAGTGGCAGTGTTGTACAGAAAAAAACATTTTTATCTCCAGCGCGTGAGACTGTGTAACGGAAATTCTAAATATGTGCTCAATTTTAAATTATTTTGCGATATTATTCTTGAACTGAATTTGAAGTGCAACGAACATGATATTTAATAAATAAAGGAAACACACAAAATGTTAAAAAAGCCCCTTTGGGCATAATATAAAAATCTGAATTTATATATATATATATATATATATATATTATCTTTTTTTGTTGGAATGTAATAATAGTGAAGCTCACAAAATCCAGTTACCATGTGCAAGGAATTGAAGCCTTTAAATTAAAGTTAAGATAATTTATGTTACTGATGAGCATCCCTTAACCACAGATGAACATTAATACATCCTTTAGTTCAAGTGGATATGCCCAAAAGAAAGAAATGTTTGTACTTGAAGAAAGCTCTAGGGTCTTCCAGTTTGTGTAAAAAAAAGAGAGAGAGAGAAAAGAAACTAAATCTGAAAGGTTTGAGATTTTATATTGCACCCAAAGGTGCATTTTTTTAACGTTTTGCTTGTTACCTTTATTTATTAAATAGCATGTTCTTTGCACTTAAACCATAAAATTCAATTCAACAGCAATATCACAAAATAGCAATTTCCTTTACACTGTTTCGTGCGTTGGAGATAAAAATATGTTTTTTCGTAGTGTTGCCATTGGTCACTTTGAAATCGGTGAGTTTCTTAATCAAAAACTCATAAATGCTTTACGAAATATGAAATAGATAATAAAACAAATTTTATATTTGTGCTTCCAGATGCCCATATTCGAGTAAAGGACTATGTTATTCAAAATTTGATGTCTCTAGGTACCGTTGTTTTTCACAATGAGAGAAACATACTTATATTTATGCAGATTCTTCATCATTTAATTTCTTTAAATATGATTTAGGGCTCTAATATTTGGAGGCAACAATTTAAAAAGTGATTCGCTGCTTATAGTGAATCAACCCAAAATGAAATTAATAAGCTCTTCTGGGAAAATTGCCCCTTTGGGCTAAAAAAAACTTTAAATGAGATAACGATAATGAAACCATAATTTTAGCAGCATTTAATTAACCATAATTTATTACTGCTATATTTATCATCTTAAAAAGGAATTTTGAAATACGGAAATTGATTGTGTTATAAAATTTTGAAATTTTTTGTTATTATTCAAAATAAGTGATTGTATTTAAAGTTTTTATACTTGTGCTAGTGTGTTAAAAAATGTGAAAAGACTTCTCTGAACAAATATCTCTTTTTACTCTCTCTTTTTACTCTAAAAAACAGACTTTGAACTAAATACTTTAATAAAACTCTAAAATATTATCAATGTTTTGCAATTATTTTGATCAAAATTTAATAATTTGTGTTTTTAAAATTATGTTTCTCTTCATTTGTTAATGCTTTAGCGCTTTATCTTTTGAAAATTCTCTGTTACCAAGCTTCTTTTTGCTTTGAAGGGGAGGGGAATATGTAAATATAAACTATAAATTATAATTGAAATTCTGTTGGAGAGCTGCCATATTGGATAATTGTACAGTTTGCTTCTACCTGTGTCATCACTAAGATACTATTTTTCTGCCCATTGCAACAACATCTAAAGTGTAACTGTTCTGGAAGAAACTCAGTGTGCCAAGTATTTGTCGCTACAGAATGTTTAACTACAGTAAAAAATATAAGATTAAAATCTGCTAGGACCGCATCATATTGAATTTGACTTCAAAGTTTCTTTTTCATCCTAAATCTACTATAAATGCTTCAACATCTATCTGTAATATTAAAATCATATTGAATTTGACTTCAAAGTTTCTTTTTCATCCTAAATCTACTATAAATGCTTCAACATCTATCTGTAATATTCCCAAATCATCATCATCATATATATATATACATATTTATATACATATATATATATATAAATTTATACAGTCAAAAGTCGTTGATTCGGACACCCATAATCCGGAATGATCCGGACCTCAAAGCTAAAAACTTTCTGCGCATGCGCCGCGTTGACACATGCGCATAGGCGTTTACGCGTGCACGTAAAACCTTAACAACTGCGCATATGCATGTGCACAAGCGCAGAATACGTTTTCGCGTGCGCGTTTTATGTATAATGGATGGTATAAGCTAAAATTATCTAATTATCTATTTCAGTTAATGTTGATGATTGTGTTGTTCCTTAATCTTCGAGTTGGGTCCGGCTTATTATTTTTTGCAGACTGTAAGAGCAATTTTATAAAAGTAAACTTGAACTTTCGATTATGTCAAATAGAATTTCCGATGCTGGAGCTCCCAAAGGATCTGCAAAATGAAAGTATGTTTCGATGTCCATCAAACAAAAAGTGGAATTGCTGCAAAAAATGGATAAAGATATGAAGAAGGTGACAGAGAGATTAGTGAAAACGAAAAAATTTCGTTTAACAAGTTAGTTGGTATTCTTGGCACAGCAATTACGGGACTTGAACAGCGGAACTTTGTAACTGAACAAGAAATTATGTCCGTTTATAGATTTAAAGAGAAAGTAATATCACACAAAACGAAGCAACTTAAACAACTTACATTGAAAGAAATGTTTAATAAAGTAAACAAATAAATATTAAGCTTTTTTTTTTGGTAAACTTTGATACCCTTTAGATCATAATTGTTCTTTATTTCATAAATTATGGTTTCATATTTTTAATTTTAGATTTTCTGCATGCCATCTTATGAGATTAAATTGATGATTGATAATCCGGAATCGCCGAACTCCCGACGAATCCGGATTAACGACTTTTGACTGTATATATATATATAAGGGATAAATCAAAATGAATATTGCGATACAGATGGCTATAACTATTTATTGAAAAAGATTTTATCTTTAAGATTAACACATAATGTAGAGGGAACTTAAATTTTGTGCATGTACGTCATTGATGTTCTGTGACTTCCCTTGGTCACACGGACAACATCTAGGCTGTAGTCCATTTCACGATATACATTCTGAAGTATTTGTTCAGTCACCGATGCAAGCTCATTACAAATGCGTACTACTTTGAGTTCTTCAATTGTTTTGGGCATGAGAGGCGCAAACACCTTGTCTTTCACATAACCCCATAGAAAAAAATCACAGGGTGTCGAGTCTGGAGATCTAGGCCAAGAGTAGAAGAAATCATCGGCAGCTCCACTTCGACCGATCCAACGCTTTGGAAGATGTTAATTTAAAAATGTGTGAACCTCCATACTCCAGTGTGATGGTGCTCCATCTTGCTGAAAGATGTTATCTGTGGAATCAGAATGAAGCTGTGGCATTAACCATACCTCAAGTATGTCTAGCTAAACATTTGATGTCACACTTCGTTCACTGAAGAAAAAAGGACCATTAAGTTTACGTTATGAGATCGCACAGAACACATTAACTTCGCTGAGTCACGTTCATGTTCAGTTGCAGGGGAAGGCTTCTCCGTATCCCATATTCAAATGTTGTACCAGTTAACAGGGTTGCCACGCTACCTGGAAAACCGGAAAAAGTCAGGGAATTCGGAAATTGACCAAAAAATTCAGGGAAAAGTCGGGGAATTTAAGTGTTTTAGTCAAAATCTGGAAAAGTCAGGGAATTTCATACAACGATCACGCCAAAAAAGGCGAGTTTTGCGCCGACGTCAGAAGAGATCACTTTTTTTGGCGAAGTGTGTATCATGTGAGTGTCATTCGGGCAGCTGGCATAGAGCCAGTTTTCGCAGCTCCAATTTGATTGTCTTTTTAGAAAGGCAAAGCAAGTTTCCCGCAACTTTTGGTTTCCAGTAACCTCGAGAATCGCATGTGCAGTGCATGAACTAAAGAAAGTACCTGTTCTCGTATAAAACAAAATGGGTTTAATCCTAGTATACGGTACCATGCAGGTTAGAATCAAAAAATATGTATTGTAAAGAAGGAAAACCTCTCTGCAACAGACGTGGCTCCGTTCCATCATAGCGGGAAACAGCTGTGCATGCGTGATATATCTGTCGCCAAAGCTCGAAACCCGGTGTCAAGTTCGAAGGTCACGTTATCAAGAGTTCATAAAATGAATATCTTTTAAAATTTCTTTAAACTCTAAAGGAAGAGAAAATATTTTTTGGCGCAAGTAAATTAATTCATGGATTAGTTATTTTGAGGGGGGAAAAAATCTACGAAAATCTGTTTTTAAAATTATTGCGAAAAATCCAAGAAAAAACGTTCTTTGATAAAACGTTTCTTCTCGGATTTTTCGCAATAATTTAAAAACAGATTTTCGTAAAGAACGTTTCTTCTTAACACATGTTTCTCAATTTCCTGTACACATCGCGGAGAGGGAAATTCTGGCCGCCAGGTTCCGTCGCCAAATCCCTTGGCAAATTTTCCCTCCGCTTTTTACATAGACGTTCTTTGGTTAGAATAATCTCCATGTATGGTACAGCGGGATTTGGCGACAGGATGATGAGCAGTAAACGGGTCATTTTGTTCTTGGCGACAATTTTCAAAATCATGCGAAGGCCATATCATATACTAGGATTTTACCATAATTTTTTTTTTCTTTTCTTTTTCTTTTCTTTTTAATAAATACCTTGTCATTTTGCAGTAAAATAAAAAATAGTAATCAATCATCTAGGATAACCATGTAATATAACTATATTCTGTAAATTATCGTTGATTATTCTAATTAAATTTTTAAGTAATTATCTTTATTTTTATGTTATTCATATCATTTAATGTTGCTTCTTTCCTCTAAATTTATTTATCATTAGTAAATAATATTTCCAAATTTCAGGAAATTTTCTCTGGCATAATCCTGAAATTAATTCTAGCAGTATGATGACATCACAAAATTTAATGCACATATTTTTCCTTATGTATGCTGTGAAAATAATTATAAAATACCTCAATTTAGTAAAAAAATATCATTAAATAGATTTCTTTCTTTCGTTTAGCTGCAGAATGTCTGCAAAAAAAAAAAAGCTTTATTTATTCCAGATTGGACAGATTCTAATCTCAATCTTCAGTGGAGAAAACAAACTCCTATTATAATAATATTTGTGTTTTCAAGTGTTAAGGTGTCTTTTAAGAATACACCTCACGCAAATTAAATTTACCTAAAATCTAACCTAACTTTTAGCATTGTGTTGTGATTTATAAGAACCGGATTAGCCTCGTGTTGAACTGGGGATGATCATGAGTAATAATTAAATAAAACGTACAGTTGGTTATCCAATGTATATATCTTAAATTTTATTAAGTTTTTTAAGCTGAAAAGTAAACGAAATTATCAAAACAAAGTGTACCAAGAATAATTAAGAATAAATGTCTCTGTGATTTATTGAATAATTAAGTGAATTTGCTGCACCAGTACAAGTAATACCATAATTAATTTACCTCTTAGCACAGCCAATGTACATTACGCAGATAGACAGGAATTTTTCTCGAAACATACCTGGAAAACCTGGAAAAGTCAGGGAATTTCATTCTCTTGTTTGAGTGGCAACCCTGAGTTAACCTTCCCACTTATCTTGAAAGTTAATTCATTGCTAAAAATGAGACGATCAGCCATTGTTGCATGCTCCATGCTTTCCAGCATAAACATAGCGTAATTCATACGTTTGCCTTTGTCTTCCTCTTTCAATTGCTGCACAAGTTGAATGATGCCACAGTTTTATTTGCAGCTTCATTCTGAGAACATGCCATACCGTTTTTTGTGGCATTTGTAACTCTTTACTGCCTTTGTATATCGATTTCCGTGGGATTCGTTCATACGTGCGACAAATTCTTTCTGTGTTATCTACTGAAGCACAGGGCCTTCCACTACTTTTCCCTTTGCACAGACATCCTGTTTAAACATCCAATGCCATCTCTGTATGTTGTTCGCATTTGGAGGTTCTTGTCTATAACGCTGACAAAATCTTCTCTGCATTGTTTTAACAGAATGACATTTTTCAATTTCTAACACGCAGAATGCTTTCTGCTCAGGACTCGCCATTTTTACTAATGAGACACCCGCAGTGAACAGGTTTCTTGTCGTTGCAAAGTTTCAACTCGCATGTGTAAGCTTCCGTTTCACTGCACCTTACGTAATAAATTTTTTTATTTCTGTCTACATTCTGTGTTACCGTTATCGATAAATTCTTTTCCATTAAATAGTTATATTCATTTGACTTACCCTGTATATATATTTCATCTTCGTTCTGAAGTTACATTGAATTAATTTGACTCTTTTTTTTAAATATTTTAGGAACTGCCTATATAGACAACTTGCAACGACCAAAAACCATAATTGAACGCATGAATACTTTCATTCATTCAGCTTATGATAGTTGGTATGTATTTTTATTATAATGATTTTTACTGGTACTTTTTAAAAAGAAATTGTAATTGCCATTTTTAATTTGAAATTACCCTAATATTTGCAGAACTAATTTTAAACAATGCAAAAATTTTAAGGCATGTATTTTGGGGTGGAGTCTTTTTATGTTAGCTAACTTTTAAATTTGTACAGAAATACCATGGAATTCACTCTTGGTTAAAGCCAGATATGTTTATTTTATTAACAAAAAGGAAATTAAAAAAATTTCATTTCAATAACAAAATGTTTAAATTCATAAAAGTAAGATATTTTGAAATGCAGGCATCATGTTTCATTTTTGAAATGAAGAATGGTATTTTCTAACATCATCATTTTAGCTATTATTAATAGTTTAAAAAATTAATTTAGTTATTAAGCAAATAGAAGCAAATGGAGCATGCAAAAGGTTACTGGTGACAGGTAAAGATCTTATCATTAAAATGTACCAGATGGCCTTTCCCCCCACACACACACCATAAGAATTTATATTATTCTTATTCAAAATAAAGTTTTTTTTTTTTTTTTTTTTTTTTTTTTTTTTTTTTTTTTTTTTTTTTTTTATAATTCATTAAAATATATATGCTATTCAGGAATCTTTATTTATTGAATTGCATTTCAAATTTTGTTACATATGAATTATATTCATAATCGTTTTTCAGTTTGTATTTATATATTTTGGAGGCATGACTATTTTGGAGACTTTAGAATAATTTCAGATTTTGGAAGTCATTATTTTTGTAAAGCTAGTTTTGTAATTTGCATGTAAAAATAATTTTGTACAATACCGTACATAAAAATTTCAAGGAAGTTGGGAAAAGTTGGGATTTTTATTGCCTGACTTTCTTGAAATTGCTAGATTTTTGTGAAGCAGCTCTAACCTAAGGTTGAATTTTGGCTAATTCTGTTTGCAATAAATGTAAACATTTCTTATGCAACTATTTCTTGTTATGTACAGTTTCTAATATTGTTGAAAATTTGAAGATTTATTTTTAAAAGTACATTCAAAGCTAAAAATGTGTTAAATGAATTAGAAATACAAGCTAAAATAATCTTATGTAATACAAATGTGCATTTACAAAAATTAATTTTATTTCAGAAATACTATGTAAATGTGTTTTTAATATGTTTTCTATCTTTATCTTGTTTAGTTCTTTTCTTTTTCTTGTGTATCTTTGTTTAGTCTGCACATCCTTGGAGGCGCAGTGGAAAATCTCTCTATTGATTTTTATACAGTTCCTTCACTTTCGAAACTTATCATGGAAGGTTTGTTTACTAATATTCAGTATATGTCAGACTCCAGACTCAGGCTTTTAATTCATATCCTTTTATAGTTTCAGTAAAAAGAAAATTTATGAATATTTTTATTGAAAATATGAAAATGTGTTTTTGGAAGAGAATGACATCCATATTTTAATGATTCACTGTATTAGATATTTAAGTTGAAAAACATAAATTTTTCAATCTATGAATTAATAATAGTGAATTATTAGTACGTAAAGGAGGAAATTCCAGTTGTTTTCATATATGCAAATGTAATAGCTATATGGACCATGTTATTTATTTTGAAGTGAAGTTTAGTCATAAAAAATATTGTAATTTTTCTGATAAAAGTTTTAGTATTTATTTTTGTAACAGTGATAAACTTGTTGTCTTGCTTCATAATTGTCTAAGCTTTTGCAGTAAGATTGATTCATGAAATTGAGGCTCAAAATTTTTATAAAACTTTAAACTGCATATATGTACAGTATTTGAAAATTAAATTGATCAAAAGCTTACAGATTAAGCAGTTTATTTAGTTATAAAGTAATCAATCATTGGAAAAAAAAGAAAATATTTATTGCAGGTTTTCAGTCATCTAGTTTGTGTTGAATAATCGCTATGTTGCACTTGCTCTGGCATTGGTATTAAGAGTTAAACTGTTTCAAAGCTGTGATCACGTCTAAAAGTATAAGAGCTGTTTGTATGAAAGCTAATATTACGAAACCCAGCAAATTAGTAATAAACCATTTTTGTTGAATTTAAAATTTATATATTCAGCTTTGGCATATTTGATTACTTGTAGGTTTTTGGTTAATTTCAGCTCTATCAACTATCATTTTACTGTTACAGGTAGATTTCTTTTTCTTTCTTTGAGAGTGTTAATATTGTGTAAAGAATATTTGATATTTGCAAATATTATTATTTTAGTTATCTTCTAAAACTTCTTATTCTTTACATTTTTTTTTTTTTTTTTTTCCCTAATAAGTTGTTAGGGTTTTGGAAAATGTTACCTTTTGAGTTGTATATTTTTTAAGCATGTTTGAAAAGCTGTATTATACAATTAACGTTTTCTTCAAGTTGCATATAAAAAATTTCTGAATTACATGCTGCATATAAAAAATTTCTGAACTACATTCAAGTTTATTTTATTGTGTTTGATGTTAGAAATAAGTTCTGAATTTGTATGTTTGTAATTATTCATCTATCAAATATATAACTTAAGTCAGTTGCTTATACTAAAATAACCTGTTAACTGTGCTTTAATTTCAGTAGATGTAATCATTTAAGTCACTATTTTTCAAAATGTATTTCATATAAATTTTGAAATATTTTTAAATAAGTGTATGATAGAATAATATTAGTTCTTATTGTCTAAATGTGTAAAATGATTATTGTAAATTTAAATTATTGTTAGCTTCTTTTGTTATTAAATATTAGTTTCTTTTTTACACATCTTAAGTGGGTGTTTTCTCCCCAAACTCTCACTATATAGCAAGTAGTTTCTTGCAGTTAATGTACAAAATGACTTCTACTTTGTGGCAAAACCATTGTTCATTAAAGGGTTAAATAAAAACACTTTCTTGAAAGTAAAAAAATATAATAATGTTTTAAAGTGTGATATCTTTTGAAGCACTTCCCTTTGTGCAAGGTTGCATTGCAAAATTTACACATATGTCACATTACACTGTTTTTTGTTTTTTTCTTGATGGAGCACACACAACATTATTGCAAAGAACTTTTCTTTTCTCTAGTTTCCACAATAGCTTTTAATATTTTGTTTTGTCATGTCCATGGAAAGTCTTTCTGGAGAATAGTACTACTTTATTGCTTTTTTTTCTAATGCAGGATGTTGATGGGCGCCTGCAGGAGACAGATACATTGCCATATTGGCAAAAAGAAACCGGCACACCACCACTCAGTGGTGGCAAATGAGTTTCTTGCTGCTACAGGACAGCAAAATTTCCCCAAAAATTGTAGCCAGGCATTTGAGAGAAGGACTATACACCATAGATCTGTTGTATGCTTCAATCTGTCATCAATTTGTAAATGGCAACTGATTTGGTATGAGGGTGGCACTGCTTATCATCTAGAAAATACCCAGAAATGGGATTGATATCGTAGATGCAGTATCATGATATGGGCTGGCATCGTGATCATCATGCACTGTATGTGCTTGCAGCTAAGATTGTGACCAGCCAACAGTTTATTGACGCAGATTTACTGCCTCATGTTTGCTTTTTTTTCATAATGCTTTCAGTGATAAATTTGATATTTTAGTCTAGTGTACTTTCCAAAAGTCTATTGATATTTTAGTCTAGTGTACTTTCCACTATTTTCCTACACTTTCCAAAACATTTTCTGTATTTATTCCTGAGCAGCCTAAAAACTCTTCCAAGACTGGTGGATAGTCTACTCATGACCATACTTCTTCAGAATCAGAACGATCCAAGGCTGCTTGAATCATAAATTCTTCAAATTCTTGGCTGAAAAATATCCTAGAGTGTCATATAATTTCATCATCACTAGAAGCATCATTGGTAAGCTTGTTCTCCCAGGAATAATTCAACAAACTGTCTGCACACAATTCTTCATCATCACATTTTTTCTGGTATGGTCTATTTTTATGAATTTGCTAAAAAAAGTCAAGTTATTACAAAAAAATCACTTTGTCACCGATAATTCTTAGAAAATTAGTTTTTTCATCCCCCATACTTTAATAAATAACAGTCTGCCCTAAATGAAATTAGTTGTTTCCTGCTTAAGATGTGTTAATAAATTTTGTCTTTTATGATGTATGTAGCTTTTATTCTATTCACTTTTTGTGAAAGAATTTTAATGCGCTCTTATATGGATCCTCAAAATGAAATAATAATGCTTTAACAATTTTAAGTGTGTTTTTGCGACCATTTTTTCTTCAATGTCCTGCATTGGCATATGATGAAATCATGACGGTCTTATCTGAATTTTGTCCATTCATGCTTAAAGTAAGTTTCATTTATATATATATATATATATCCAGTTCTGTTGCATATTGATTAGTAAGCATTTGAAGCATGTGTAATCTTATATTATATTAGTCAAGAAGGAAAAAACTGATTGGCATGTATAGCCCTATTTAAAGATTTCTATGTGAGCTAAGGAACTAATTTTATATTGCTATGTGTTTGAAGTGCTAATAGAAGCTATTAATATATAATTTTAAAATTCTCCAACATTAAATTTTGTTTTTGTTTTGTGAAAGTTAACTTTTCTAACAGAAAACAGCTGAATTTACTTGCAGTTTTTGTACTCTTGAATCATGTTTAAGGGATATTTCTGTATTAGTCAGATGTTTCTCATCCATATAATTTTATTGCATCAAAAATTTAAAATTCTTCAAAAGGAAATTATTAAATTTAAGGAGGAAAATTTTCTTTTAGAAAACTCATGTAAATAGTTTTATCTTGGAATAATATTTGCATAATTATTTAGAAGTTAATTGAAGTTATGCAGAGTGATTTGTGAAATTTGATTAGATTATTTTGTCTCATTTAATAAATCCCTGTAAAGAAATCATGTTTAGCATGTTTTGTAGGAAAATTTAAGGTATTAAAAAAAAAAGAAAAAAATTCTAATACAAGTCTGTTCGGTAAGCATATTTTAGTTACTGATTTAAACTTGTGCAGTTGTTAAAATTCAAAATAAAAACCAGACAGCATGGTAGATAAACCATGCAGTTCTGGAAATCTTTGGGAGTTATATATACATATATATATTATTTTAATTCATGGTGGATTTTATAGATATCCTCTTGTTTTGTTCATCATCATCCTTCTGTTTTCTTGTCTGTATAAGGCATTCCTTAGAATTGTTGTATGCCTTTATCATCACTTACTATTTTTTGTGTGTATTCTCTCTTAGTTGGTATAATATAATGGAAAATTAGAAAAAAATATGTTTATTTTATCTCATGGTATGAAAAGCTTATTACTGACAGAACATTTTTTGCAATAAATGAGAAGGAAACTATAAATTTAACAAACTGTTAACATATAAGGCATTTCTCCTGCCTTCTTAGCATGCCTTTGTGGTGTAGTGGTCAGCACGCTGGGCACGTAAGGTTCAGGGTTTGATTCTAGAGGTTCAGGGTTTGATTCCTGGTGAAGGCATTGCTCATCTTTCATGCTTCCAAAAAAATCCTAATGTCTGCACAGTGACGTCCGAACTAAAAGGGTGGTAGATGATGATTAATATCCACACCCTGGGTTTGACGATTGAGTCCCCTAAACCCCATTCATCCTTTAAAAGGGGGAGTGTATAAGGTATTTCTCTCGCCTTCTTAGCATACCCTCGTAGTGTAGTGGTCAGCACGCTGGGCGTGTTTTCTAGAGTTCCGTGGTTCGATTCCCGGCGAGAGCGTTGCTCATCTTTCAAGTCCCTGCTTCCAAGAAATACCTAATGTCTCTACAAACATAGTTATAAAATAGCACTATTAGAAAAAGTTTCTCACTCTAAAAGGGAAGGGAGAGGTCGTTGAAGATCGGCCCTGTTGCAGTCATCCTTTGAGTTCGTGAACCGAGGACAACATTGCCAAAATCCATGATGCCATCAGAGAAGGTCAATGCAGAGTAAGTCAACCAACTGAAAGACTAATTCAGGTTGTCCTGGAGATCCATTTAGTGCATTTTGCATGATGGTTTGGGAATGCAACAAGTAGCTGCTAAGTTTGTGCCCAGACTTCTTAGTGAAGAATAAAGGGATCTTCGCATAGAAGCCTGTCATGAAATGAAGGACGCTGGCACAGATGATCCACAGTTTTTTAACAAAATCATCATAGGTGAAGAGTCATAGTGCTGTGGGAATCCCAAAAGTATCCAAAGTCAAGTTAATTTAAGTTGCCTAGCTGCCTCATCTAGAAAGAACTTGTCAAGTTAAATTGAATTTGAAGGTCACGCTGATTTGTTTTTCTGGCATCAAAGCGATCATTCACTCAGATTTTATCCCTCAAAATCAAATCAACAACCAACAATGCTGTTTGAGGTGTTGAAATGGCTGCATACAAATATGACATGGAAATGTCCTGCCTTAGGGATTTCCAGCAGGTGATTCCTGCATCATGACATTGCTTCTATGCACATGGCACTTGTCTCTTGATATTTGTTAGTTAGTTTTTGCCCTAACACTGATGATTACCTTGACTTAGGTGCCCCGTTTACCAGATTTGGCTCCCATGGACTTCTTGCTCCATCAAATGAAAAGGGTCTTTAAAGAAAGCATTTTGGTGGTGTCAACAAAGTCAAATGCCTTGTCACGATGGCACTAACAGGTATCAAAGATGCTAAATTCATAAGGTACTTACATCAATGGGCTGAACATTTGGACAAATGCTTTAGTACCTTGTGTTTCTTTGTAGATGCTAGTTCGAAAAAACGAAATTTCACCACATTAAGATGAACTATAATGCTTTTATTTTGATAGAAGTTTCTAGGTTACATGGTTCTCTTCCTCCAACTTTACATTCCTCATAACAGCTGCACACTACAGTGGAAAGTGTAGTTCACTCAATGTTTCAAACAGGTGGTTTACTTGGCGGCCTCTCGCTCACTTTCCTCTGTCACTGCAAGCTTTGCCCACCATACACCTCAGTGCTTCTATGTAGCCATATACTTGTATAATAGAAAATCTCAGGATGTCGCTGCTTTTGACACAACGGTACTAATGGAAAGAACTTTGAAAACAAGTTGTATTCAATAATAATAATAAATTCCATTCTTTTTATCGGGAAAGTCTGGTTATTTGGGGATCCCCTTCATATATATTTCTTATTGCATTTCTTAAATTTTAACCATTTGAGCAACATGACCCCCATCTGTCCAATCTTGAGATTTCGTATAACTTGGTATATATTATGCTGTTATTTAAAATATTTACTTTACATTTAAAATGTTTCCTTTTCATACACTTACTTACTGTTACTTTTTACTTCCTTGTACGAAGTAAAAAGGAAATATTGTAATCGCGAAAAACTTCAGGCATCGTATTTGAAAGAAAATATCCATTTTGACTGCTATCGAATGCAATTTAACGATGTTTTTGCGGGACATTCATACGTAAAGACAGAATAAAGGACTCTTTTCCCCAAAAAATTATAAAACTGATTTAAAATGAATTCTAACATTAAAATTTTTGTGACATCTGTGCGTATGTACGTATCTTGCATAACTTAAAAATGAGTAGCCTCAGAACGTTAAAATTTTGTATATAGGATTGCTATAGCATGTAGAAGTGCACCTTGTATTTTGACTGCAATCGGCCACACCAAAATTATATAAATATAATTATATAGATATATATCCACTATGTTACTCGGCTCAGTAATCTCAGTTTCTTTATTTTTATATGTTTGTATGTCTTTTTGCTTTAAAAATGATTGAATTATGCTGTTCTTATCTTATGGTTAAGGTTTTTATACTTTTATTAAATCTGCATGCAATATTTTTAGAATTATTAACAATTTAAAATTTGTTTAAGTGCCGCTAAGCTTAATTATTTTTGCAGTGGCAGCAATGTTTGTTTACATATGAAACAGCAGAATAGTAGATTTGTTGGCAATCTAGAGAAAGCAAGCTTTGCAGTAACAAAGATAACGCCTTCTTTTATTATTGCGAATTAAATCATACTTAATCCATTCTGGAATTTATTCGAGGAAATGTGTTCGAGATTTACTGCATAATTTTCAATACAGATGTTTTTGAGTTTTTATGGATTTTTGTCTTGTCGCGAAGTGAGAACTGGATTAATTGAATGAGAAATACTGAATCATCTGTGAACAACATTTTTTTGTTGTCATTGTTTTTATTGTTGTTTACTTAATTTCTTTTATACATTTTTTTAGATTTATTATAATATTTGAATAGAACATGTGGCAACGATTAGATAATTCTTAAGAGTGTCGCTATGGTAAACAATATAGTGAATTTTAAAAAGTGCATTTATTTTATTGTGGTTTAAGCGCTATCGACGAAATAAATTTAATTCAATCCAATAGGTTAAAATGAAATGCAAAAAAAAACTGCATATAATTTAATATTCCGTACTAGGAAGTCATGGTGTACACATCAGATTTTTTGTTAACCTTTTGAGGCCGGGGCTTTGGTAGCAGTAAAAGTTACCAAAGGACGGGGAATCTTGCACCGAATGCCCCCCTTTAAGAAATTACCTCCTATTTGCAACAAAGATTCTTGTGTGTAGTTTAATGGATTCTCAGATAGGTGCATCTATGTCACAAAAGGAAGACCTTTGAAAGAGATAAGTGGTTAAAACCCTAGGTTTGACATTTCACCCCACTTTTCAGCCTGGAAAATGAGGAAAAAAGACATGTCCACTAAAGTGGACAACCCCGTCTTTTCAAAGACAGGACCTGTGGCCACTATAATGGCCATCCCGTCTTCAAAAGGTTAATGGTCTAAATATCAGCTTAAGGAATGAATAGTTAACCATACAATGAGCAATTATATAAATCTAATTGGCAAATGTAGTTTAATCACAATTATTCATTAACAGATTTAAGAAAACTTCTATATAGATGTTGAGAAAGGCATAATATGGAATTTGTACATTTAACATTAGCTTTAATGATTTGAATTATGCACTTTTTTAAGGGGGGAGATTCTGTGCATCATTATTGAATGAAGGTTTTCTGTTTAAATACAAAACCCTCACCAAAATGATGCATAATGATTATAAATAAATTGCTGCTCTTGTGATTAAATATGAATTAGTCAAAAGTATGTAGTAGGAAGGAAAAAGTACCGTGAAATTACACATGACTGTAAATAATACTTTTTTATCAAAGTTTTTTTCTGTTATTAATAAAAAGTAAAATATAATGAATTTCTTTTTCCTGTTTGGAGAATAATATTTAAAAGCAAGTTATTTATTGAAAGATATTCAGGCATAACCTTAGCAAAAGTTTTAATATATATCTGTAAAGTATTAAATAAATTATTGTCTGTGAAAAGAAAAGTTACACTATAATTATATTCATTTTGTCAAAATGAGAAAAGTAGCATTTTGGATTTGTTGGGCTTTAAACCAGCATTTATTTATTTGTTTTAGAGACTTTCTACTAGATGGGAAAAGTTCAGATTAAGATATGGAACAAGGTAAGATATCTGTTTATCTGTTATATTGCATTCAAATGGAAATGTTTAGATAAATAATTTGTTTAAATTGAAAAAAAAAATTCTGTGCATAGTTTTGTACTGTTATTAAGTACAGTGTAAAACACAAAATAGAGATATACACAAACTTTCTACTAGATGGGAAAAGTTCAGATTAAAATATGGAACAAGGTAAGATATCTGTTTATCTGTTATATTGCATTAAAATGGAAATGTTAAGATAAATAATTTGTTTAAATTGAAAAAATTTTCTGTGCATAGTTTTGTACTGTTATTAAGTACAGTGTAAAATACAAATTTGTATTTGTATATTTGTATAACATTATAACAAATGTAATAAACAAGAATATTTATTTAAGCATTGAAGTACATTCCATCGCAATCCAGTATCCAAATCACAAAAACTGGCTCCTTGAATTCAAATGTTAAGAACAAAACATCGTTTCATTGTAGCCAGTGAATTAAAAAAAAAAAAAAAAAAAAAAAGGAAATGCATGCAACTTGTTAACTTGCTACGTCCTCGCTCTAGTTGACGACTTTGCTGTATTGAAAGGTCTAAGAGCAAGGTGTGATAGACTCCTATTTGTTCAGTAGGTTTGCTGATGCTTGCTGTTATATTGGTAATTGGAGATTTTTGCATTAGGATAACATGATGTCCATCATATCTCTTGGAAATAGTGGTTGTCAGCTTCAAGATGGCCTGCTGGAGGATTTGCAGCTTGAAGGCCATATATAATCTTGAGTGGATTTGCAAAATTAAGAGGTGCTGGGTAATGAATTCCATTATATAAAGGTACTTGATTCTGAAACAAAACTTGCTGCTTCAGTACATATATTAGATGTAACATGACTAGAATTTAAAAGCTCATCAAATGAGCAGTTGCCCACAAGGAATATCATCAAATAAGCAGTTGCCCTGGCTTCCTAGAAAAGACACATTCAATATTATACTTCTGTTCTGCATTATTCTCAGAAGTAGCTTTTGTATCACGATCAGAAATGGAATAATTGTCTTGGAAATTTCTATTCCAACCAAATACTACATTTTGATACCTTTTTTAACGTTTGCCTTTCTAATAATGTGATTCATTCCAATTCCTCTTAGTTTAATTTTTCATTTTAAAATTACTTTAATTGGTATTATAATTGTCATCACTAAAAGAGTCTCTACTCTCATAGCTAGAAAGATAATCACCTCTTCCATGATACCTGCTATTTCTCATATTGTAATTAGAAGGTCTCTTCTGTCAATATCCATGTCCCTTCTCTTCTGTATCCAAATTCTCATCTTCAGAACAGTATGCTTCTACAAAAGTAGTTTTTCTGTGAGACTGGCCTGCTTGAATTTCAGAATGGGAATATTGATCTGAGTACTGTTCTTCAAAATATGCACTATTACTTCTGGAATCTATTATATTCATTAATTTTTTATTGCTTTTCAAAAGTATCTTCAGGTACAAAATTTTTCTTCTGTATCCTTTCTTTCCTCCTCTTTCATGGAAATTTTTACGTTTCCGGACATCCTATAACTTTCAGAAACTTGAGAACTATTCTCATTTTCCCAGAGGTCATGTCAAGGATAATTTTTTACTGACTGATATCTATTATGCTGATGATAATTTGATTTATGATAAGAGTGATAGCTATTGCGTTCCCTGAAATTACATGCAGCACTGGCTGCATAAGGCCGTCTTTTGTTTTATGAATAAACTTGGGAATTATGGTAATTTTATGAATTTTGTATATATATAAATAATTTTAGTGAAATTGTTGTATTTTTCTGTGTAATGTAAACATGAAAACCTAACGAAACAAAGCTTTGGTGGTAAACATAAGAATACAGAAGCGAGTCAACGTTGAGTAAATGGCTGCCCGGCTAAATTGATGAGATATCGCCAAGCTGACAACGGTTTTAGTGATTACTTTTTGTCGCCAAGCTTGCCGACATTTTGGTCCGGTCCCTGTATAACAATAATGGCTATTATAATTGAATAACTAATGAATTCCATATGTAATTGTAACCACATTTGGCCCTCATATGTCTTCCAGTAATTTTGAGAAGTGGAAAGTACTAGGGACTTCTCAGTGGCCACGGAAAAACGATATAAGACCCGGGAGATCATCAATTTCTGAATAGTAGTTGTTAGGTTCATTGTGAGTTCAGAGTATTCAGATATCTCTGCAATAGCTTCGCTGTTTGGATGCACTTTGCATTGCGTTGTGTTTAACATTCTTAGTAGTTTGAAGAGTAACTATTGAGTGTATTCTGATACTGTGAAGAGCTGTATGAATACACTGGTGTGCAAAAATTAAGGACGAGACGGTTTTTTTCAATATAACTTTGTACAAAAGCTTTCCAAATCAACACTTTTAATACCGTAAGGACATGAGTAATGTAAGCAACACTTACTAAAAGAGAAACCAGAGGGATAAAAAGAAGCTTTATTGAAAAAGTAGCATGGAGCGCAATGCGACTGAAGCCCGAAACATTCCTGTGATGGGTGTCCAGCAAGAAACATCCGGTCTTTAATAGGAGATACGATCTCCCCTGACTGCTAGGCAGGTTTCACAGCGTCTGCCCGTGCTGAGAATGAGAGTGTCAATAAGTTGTTGAGGCATTGCTGCCCATTCGTCTTGCAGCGCCAATCGAAGCTCCGGAATCGTTACTGGTGGTAAGGTACGAGCTGCCAAGCGTCTGCCTAGAAAATCCCATACATGCTCGATGGGATTGAGATCCGGAGATCGTGCCGGCCAATCCATTCATTCAATATCCTCACTCTCTAAGAGCTGTTCGGCAGCTACCGTGCGATGACATGGTGCATTGTCATCCATGAAAAGGAACTGCGGACCCATAGCGCAAAAAAAGACGCACATATGGAAGAAGAATCTCGTTACAATAATGGATCCTGTTGACTGAACCTGCGTCGAAGATGTGAAGGTCTGTACGACTACCAAGCATGATGCCTCCCCAAACGAGAACACCGCCACCTCCATACCTGCCCTTTCAATGATGTTCGACGGATGATTGCGGCTTCCCCGCTCTCTCCAGATGAGTATGTGATGAGAATCGCTACTCGGACTGAATCTGCTCTCATCTGTAAAGAGTACTCGTCCCCATTCATTGTCTCTCCAATTCCGGTGTTCCCGGCACCACAGAGAACGCCTTCTCCAATGAGCAGGCGTTGAAGGTACACACCGTACAGGGCGTCGTGCAAACAGACCACCACCGTGCAGTCTTCTAGCCACGGTAAAACGCAATATCGGTCGTTCAGTCGCCTGTGTCGTGTGTCTAGCGATTTCTCTTGCTGTCTGCCGCCTGTTTCTTCTGGCCTGTAAGGCAAATACGGTCATCTGCGGGTGTGGTTTCCTCGTGGACGACCACTACTAAACCCCCGAATAGCTGTTCCTTAGTTTGAAATTGTCTCAAAGTCGTGTGAAACGATGCTGTGAGCAATTCCGAACTCTGCAGCCACACTTGTCACACTGCGGCCTTCCTCCAACTTCCCAATGATTCGACCTCGGGTAAAGCATCCAGATGTCATCTAACAGATTGATTATTCGCCATTCTCGCTGAGGCAGCAACCGGTGTGATTTAACTGCTATACGGCGTGCAATCTCTTTGCCAGAAATATGATCTTACACCGACAACATGCTTTATACTCTTCAGACACTCCCCCATTACGTCTACCTGCATATCTGCCCATGTGCTACCGTACATCACCTTACTTAATCTCCTGATTGGTCTTTCTGTTATGGAAATTTCCTGTTATGTTTTTACCACCAATCCTCAAATTCCATATCACATATTATGTTCTTACTGCATTAATATAAATATTAACGAGACATAGTGCACAATAAAAATTTTAAGCTTTATTTCGGAACTTCGCGCACACTCCCCGACAGCCAGCCTCTTTCGCTCTGCTCGCTACTCATTAGAAACTTCTCTTCTAGGGTTGCCACACTTATCGGAGGGCGCAAGGCGCGCTTCTTATCGTCATCACCACACAGTTTCCCCCCAGTTCCTTTAATGGCTATCAAAGGAACGACATCAGGTTATGAAATGATCTCAGAGGATCAGTACTGTCGGGTATTTTTTTTTTTTCATGATTACAAAATTAGAATATAAAATTAGAAAAGATCAAAATGCAGTTAATATATAACAAGGTAATGACACATATAATAAATATGAAATAACAAAAAATTTGTTACGATATGAATTTTAAAAAAAAGGTTTTAAATTGTTATGTAAGATGCAAGTTTCTTAGGGAAGTGAACATCTTCCCGATCTGGTGACAGTTTGTGTCTTAGAGAGTTCATTTGCAGATTTATCTCTGAACTGCTTTAAGTCTTTATTTGTTTTCAGTTCAGGCAAATTAGAGTCCAAAAGCAAATAAGCTGATTTCACACGGTCTGTAGACACAGTAAGATTTCAGACCGTTAATATGAATTGTGAAAGTTTTGTCCATTCTAGAAAGGACTTTATGTGGACCTGTGTATGGTTGGCACAGAGGTGGGCTTTACTCGATCGACACATAAGTATACATGCGTACACGACTTTAAGGATAGCATTTACGTAACACTTTTCTTGGCAATGTGCAGATGTTGCTATTGGATCAATGTTGCATTCTAGCCTAAGATTGTGATAATTGTGTGTCATACGGAGAGATCTTAGATGACGTTATCATATCACTAGGCAGCTTGAGAGTTGTGCCGTACCACAGTTCAGCACAAGATGACTGTAGATCTTCTTTACGGCTGTCCGATACCAGCATAAAAACTGGTAGGTGTTTCAGTCCAGTTATTGGTCTCGTGAGCCTTGAGAGAGATTTTAAATGTCGTGAAATCGTTCAACAATGCCGTTTGACATTGGATGATAGGCTGTTGTGTGATTCTGTTCGTACGCAAAATGCGCGTGAATTCTGCAAAAAGTGCAGATCTCATTTGAGAACCTTGTCTGTTGTATGATCGATGGGCAGAAAACG